GATACACAGGCCTGACTCACCCTGATATGCAGGCGTCCATGATGCCACGCATGGGATGGAACCCGTGGTTTCAACCAGCTCTGAAGGGGGCGCATATGCAGCAGACCCAACTGTAGCACTGGAGAGGCTGCTGCCATGAGGCCCAGCATCTTTTGAAACGCTTTGAGAGGCCGAGCAGTACCGATCTTCAAGGAGGTCCCCAGCCTCTGTATGGCCAGAGCTCGTTCTGGCGTGACTACAGCTTTCATTTGGGCTGAGTCAAAGATTGTTCCCAGGAATGAGATTCGCTGGCTGGGAAGCAATGAGCTCTTGGCAAGATTGACCCTGAGTCCCAGGCACTCCAGGTGGCTGAGGAGGAGGGCTCTGTGAGATATTAATTCTGCCTCCGACTGGGTCAGGACGAGCCAGTCGTCGAGGTAATTGATAATACAGATTCCCATCTGTTTCAGAGGGGAGAGAGCCGCATCCATGCACTTCGTAAAAGTGCGGGGGGCCAGGGACAGCCCGAAGGGAAGGACTGTATATTGATAAGTCACTCCCTCGAAGGCGAATCTCAAGAATTGCCTGTGATGGGGGGCTATCTGGATGTGAAAATATGCAACCTTCAGGTCCAGAGAAAAGAACCAGTATCCCGAGCGAATTTGCGCGAGGATCTGTTTCAGTGTAATCATCCTGAACGACCTCTTCATGAGGGCGCGATTCAGGTGTCTGAGATTGAGGATGGGTCGGAGGCCACCATCTTTTTTGGGGGCGAGGAAGTAACGGCTGTAAAAGCCTGACTCGCTCTGGGCTGGAGGAACTTTTTCCACAGCTCCTTTTGCCAGCAAATTCATCACCTTTGAGCGCAGGATGGGGGCGTCCTTGCTCTGCATTGAGGTGGAGACCACGCCGCTGAAGAGCGGGGGTCTTCGAGCGAATTGGAGTGAATATCCTCGCTTTATTATCCCCATAACCAATTTTGACACTCCGGGGATGGCCTGCCAGGCCTCGGCCCGCGTGACTAGGGGTTGAATTAACTCGGGTGACTGGCTGCACGGGGGCAGAACACTCACGAGTGATGGAAGAGGAAGTTTGCTCTCTTTTTGAAAATGTTTGTGTTTTATTATTTTTTCCGCTATCACAGCGGTTGAGTGCTTGGGCGCATGAACGGACCCGTTGTTTGCACAAAACACATTTCCCTCTGTACCCGGAGCTGAACGGGGTATCAAGAGTTGTAAGAGAGGCTGCTTGAGGGGTGGTCCGGCCGTGGTGAGATCTGACCCCATCCTCTTCCTGTCTCGTAGATCAGGATGACGCCTGAGGTGCCGGGTCCAACGCAATCTTGGGTCGGGGTCCCTGGCGTTTAGGAAGAGGGTAGCGTCTGGCCGAGCGAGAGCGTCCCCGCGTCTGCTGCGCTTTAGCGGGCTGAACACACAGGGGCGGCAGGTGCTGGCTTCGCAGGCTGCTGAGTCGGTGCAGACTTAGGGGGAGCTGAGGAAGCAGCGGAGCTGGAGCGCTTACTTAGGGCGAGCTGAGGCACAGCGGAGCTGGAGCGCTTAGGCAGGAAATGTTGCATAGCCTGGGACGATTTCTGTGCCTCCGAGAAGCATTCAGCGAATCCTTCGACTGCCGGTCTGAAAAGACCTTTGGGGGAGACAGGAGCGTCGAGGAAGGGGATTTTATCCGCGTCCTTCATCTCAGTCAGCGTCAACCATAAATGGCGCTTGAGCACCACAAGGCTGGCCATCGATCTCCCAATCGCCTGGGCGGTGGTCTTGGTGGCGCGTAGAGCCAGGTCAGTTGCGCTCCTTCCAGCGAGAGCTGAAGTGGTCCTACACGGCTTAGACAGGTGAGCGGCCTTCGTTCTCCAGCCGATGGCCGTGGGCGGGCAGAGATGCGGAGAGAGGCGAGACTGAAGCTCTCGCAATGAGAGCAATTAGCTCCCGTGAGCGCAGCTTCCGCATGGGATTTCCCCAAACAGGAAACGCACTCCGTGTGGCCGTCATCAGCGTGCAGGAGAGACCCGCACGAACCGCAGTAACGGCGCAGCATTTGCAACAATGCCGATGCTCTTTTAGAAGCTCTTTTGTGAGTCGCCGGATGGCGGCAGGGGAATCGGACCGGAACTGCTGCGTTGCTGGAGCAGCGGAGAAGCAGGTCAGCCGTGCTGAGAGGTCCCGATTCCAGCTGCGAAGGCGTGTCAAACGGCGAGCGGCTTCGGATCAGCTTGAGACGGAGAGTCGTCGCTAAAGGAGAAGAAATCTGAGAATCCTGTGGCGAGCGCCCGCTTATATAGCCAGATGCCCCGCCCATTCTGGCGGGCTTCATCACCATAGGCTTGTGCAGCTCCGCTGCAGAGCCATTGGTTCGTTTTTTAAGCTCTGCACGAACCAATGGCCGTGCAGTTTCACTGCGTGAATGAAAAAAGGCTTCAGTTCAGGAGAAAAAAGGCTTTTTCCCATATGCGTCTTAAGCAGACGCAGTACGAGTGAAGTATCGAAAGGGAACTCATACAGGTTTGGAACAAATGGAGGGGTAGTAAATGATGACAATTTTCATTTTTGGGTGAACTATCCCTTTAAATGATTAAGTACAAGATCTTAATTTTGTATTAAAGCAAGTGATCTTTTAATTGTCAAATTTTTTTTTTTGCATTGAGATATTTAAAATCTGGAGTGTTTTTTTTGTAAAACATTTTCTACCTGTGAGTTTTGCTTTTGGTGTGAACAGGCTTTCAGAGTTACTTTTCTTAGATCAGTCTTAAATGAGCCCAGATATTTTAGAAATATCTAATTTTTAGGTAGTAAAAGGGTTATTTTGTCATTCTCTATATCTTATTGGCTTTGCATTTAGGTAGAGGGATAGTACACCCTCAAAAAATTAATTACTTACTCACCCTCAGGCCATTCCAAACCTGTATGACTGTCTTTCTAATGTGGAACACAAAAGAAGAATTGTATTTTGAAGAATTGTTTTTTTTTTGTTGAATTTTGTTATTTTTTTAAACCATACAATTAAAGTCAATGGGGTCCAAAACAAAATGAAGGGAAACGAAACGAACAAAAAAGCACTATGACCCAATTGAGTATCATGCACTTACCTAAAAACAAACAAACAAGCAAAAAATAAAAGAACACATTTTTCTTCTTATTTTTCTGCAAAAGATAGAAACTCATACAGGTTTGGAGCGACATGAGGGTAAGTAAATTAGCATTTTTGGGTGAGCTAACCCTTTACATCTAGAAAAGATTGCACTAAATTGCATATAGACATGAGAAGAAACACATCACATCCATAGCTCCAAATCCAAATGAAGCAGCAAAGAGATTCCTCTTCCTGTAGTGAAGGTGATATGTAGTATTGAGCCACAGATGTAAGGCAGCCTGTGGGAGCAATTGCACTGACCCAGAGGCAAAGAATCTGAGAGCAGGGGCGTAGATTACGCGGGGGACGCGGGGGACGTGTCCCCCCTACTTTTAATATCACGTAAATTCGTCCCCCGCACTTTTTCGGGCAAGTGTGTTCGTATAGAGGTTTTCAAGAGCCGGTGTGAATAAATATAGATTTAAATTCAAAGAGACAGGATAGTCTGTGCATGATCTGATGTTTTATTCGGACCCAGAATAAGGCGAGATGAACATCGCGGAGCGCTAAACACTCATGCAGTGTATGTTTCATTCATAAAAAACTGTTGAGTGGTAGGTTATATAGATTACAGAAATTTTATATTGTAATGTTTTATATATGTATATATATATATATATATATAATTTTTTTAAATTAATTAATTAATTTTTTTAATATATAACATTTCTGTCCCCCTCACTTCTGAAATGATGGCTTACGCCCCTGTCTGAGAGAATTCGATATTGACTGCAATACCCTAGACGGCACATGTGTAAAATGGAAATGTGAGTTAAAACCATGCAATTACGAGGTTGTTCATGCATATTTCAAACAGAAGGAGAAGCTGAGGGCAACCACCAGAGGCCCTGACTCGCAGCGAGTCGCCATCTTTAAACAGACAGCACGAGATGCTTGATGGAGGTCTCGACATAGAGCACGAACTACAGAAGGTGCCTGCTCATGTCAGTGATGCTATAACTATATTCAAATGAGGGAGGCGGAGCTTACATGCAAAGAGTGGCCCTCAGATATTCCCGCTCCGTTACAAGTTTAGAGAACTGTTCGGTGTCATATCTCTGGTTAAGGTGTATAGACTTCACAGAAAACTTTTTAAAAGTATGAATTTCTAATCTGCATATGCATACTGACCTTTTGAACAGAAAGGCCCATCATAAGCAGTGGTGGAGCAGTCACAGGAATAGCCGTTGTATTTCTCCACACACTTGCCGCCATTACGGCAATACATCCCAAAACTGGTGCAGTGACCCGAACAGCCAGGTTTTACACCAGGAGTGACTTTTGCCCTCTCTTCTAAGTCAAGGGTCACCCCGTTCATCTTCAACGAGCGGATACATCCAAGAAATCCTCTCTGACCTCCAGCTGCACCTAGATGAGAAATGGAGACAAAGACTAGTCAATATAACGCTCGACAGTGGTCTTAATAAAAGCATAAGTGGCACACCAAAATGACTCAATCATTATTTTTTCATTGCAGGCTTAACAACAAGCTTGAAAACAAAAGGTTCAATTAAACATTAAGTTTCAGCCAGTAGTTGAACCTTCTGGTGGGTTTCATTCATTATGGCATGTACCATTCAATACAATAGACCTCAGAGAAATTAGACATCATTAGAGTTCCACTTCCAGGAGAAAATAAACATTTGCCACTTGCTCAATGTCTTGTCTGGACACCTTTTCAGTATACGAAACTGCCCAGTTAAACAGAAATTGTACAATCATTTGCTAGATTAATACTAGATTAATAGTAAATGTCCTGGCAGGATGCATCAATTATTTACTAACGGTGAATAATAAAAACAGACCCACAAGTACAATCCTACTACAATTTATCAAACTGCCAAATGAGGAAAACTTTATCAATTCCTCCAAAGAAATTACATGGATTGGAGTATATATAGATACAAGTAATTGCAGTTTGGCTATGCTTTACAGAAAAGGAACAGAAAACACATAATCAAAGTTTTATAAACTCAATTGAACTCAAACTCACATCAAAAGTGGAGTTTTAATTGAGCTGGTGACCTGGTTGGCCATTTAATACAAAACAAACTCACTGAATCCTTTGCTAATAAACCTGAGAGCAGAGCTCTTATCATCAAATGTACAGTAAATATGCTGTGCTATTTATAATACTTGAAAGACACAATGTCTCATGTTTCAAGGACGAACATGAGATAAAACACAAAAACACATTTTAAGTAACATTCTATTTATTCTGCAACATTGTTCCAATCTGATTCATGTCACTTAGCAGACATTTTTTACGGCCTCATTTGTTGCTGAAGAATCTATTTCACAAAACTTTTTTCACCAGCACTGTTTTAATAAACACAGAAAGTGAGACAGCATGAATAAGCTTAAATGAGGAAAGAGGGTGTTATGGCGAGCTGTTAAAACCCTTTTGAAGTTTTGCCTCCATCTCTGATGAGTCCTGAATCGGAAATGATTCTTTAATGAAACAGTAATGAATTAGCATATTACATGTATTAGACCATCCTGCCCAGTGGAATATATATATATATATATATATATATATTCCAAAATATCACAGATAGATAGACAGACAGACAGACGGGTAGTTTCAGCGTGTTGGTGTAAATTTGACAAAAAAGTTACCTACTTTCCTGACAGGCCCATGATGCTGGCTTTCCTTTGGAGAACCAATATCACCCAGATGCGCAAGCAATGAAAGAAATAAAAACAACACAAAAAAAAAACAAAAAAAAAAACATGCAGTGATGAGAAAACTTAATGCATAATCAAGTCCAGGTTGCAAGGAGAACACAAAAAGAAAATAAATCGCAAGAAGCAACTTGATGGTGGATAGTAAAGAAGCATTAAAGATTCATGCAAACAGTGAATACAGACATACGCATATTATAATACCGTAAACGAATGCAAACGTGTTAGTGGTTGCTAAATCAAAGGTCTGCTTGTTATTTAAGATGAAGTGAATGACAATAAAGAACGAGCAAGCATTTAATCCTCCATTAAATATAACGTGACCACTATAAATGCAAAGAAAATTCAAATAGACACAAGCATCCATGGGTGAAAGGAAGTAAAGGGCAATCTGCTTTATCAAAAAATGATGGCATGGGACTAAATGGTCTGAAAAACTGAGCACGGAGCAATTCACAAGCATTGGAGAGGAGGCCAGACAGATGCTGTCCAGACCTGTCAGGCATCTGTCTGGCCTCCTCTCCAATGCTTATGAATTGCTCCGTGCTCAGAGCAACTGGTTTATATCCGCTGAGTGGGCAGGGGTGCCCACTCAGCAGATATAAACCAGTTAGTTTTCCAGTTAGGTCAGGGTCTAAAGACTGAGAGTTGCTCTCCATGAACAGTCACACCAACATTTTACATTTCTACTGAAACAATGGACAAGGATTAGACAACCTTTAACATTCATTTGGACTGCAAAGCTCATTACACCTAACCCTAGTGTGCGTGATAATGAAATTGACATGCCAGTCCAATATTCTTCAGATCTGTTGAGAATAAGAATGAAATTTTCATCTGCTTCATGGACAAACATGCAAATGAGACCTAGAGAGGGTTATGGCTTGGGCGGTGCAATATATTGAATATTAATCCATGATTTTGCTGGTTGCAGCATTCAACATACTGTCCCTTTAAAGAAATAGTTCACCACAAAATAAAAATTTGCAGAAAAATACTGTGATTCTTACAAATATAAAGCTTTCCACCTCACAAGACGTTAACTGATGGACTGGAGTCATATGGATTATTGTGATGTTTATCTCAGATGTTTGAAAACTCATTCTAACGGCACCCATTCACTGCAGTGGATCCATTGGTGAGCAAGTGATTCAATGCTAAATTTCTCCAAATCTGTTCTGATGAAGAAACAAACTAATTTACATCTTGGCTGGCTTGAGGGTGAGTAAATTTGTAGAAAATTTTTGTAGAAAATTTTTATTTCTGGGTGAACAATTTCTTTAAAGGGACAGTCAAACTAGACTTTGAGCATGTGAAATTTATTTGGATTAGTTTCAAGATCCAATATACTAATAGTATCTAATTTAACTTTGGTGGACAAAATGCAGATAGAGTTGGTTAAGATAAGATAAGATAAGATAAGCTTGATTAATTTCCATGAATTAGTTTACACTATCCATTTAAAAAACAACAACAACAAACAAACAAAACAACAACAACAAAAAACAAAACAAAAACAAAGCTGTGCTCATATAAAATATATGGTTAATGTTAAGTTATACTGTTGAATAAACATAAATAATCATTCTTCCTTTAGTTCATTTTAACTTTAGTGAAAAACTAAATGTATAGTAATTTTTCAGATAAAATAAATTAATAAATTACATAGCATAGTATATTTTATTATGTCATATAATACAATTATCAAACATTCATAATAATAATAATACACACCTGTATACTTCCTGTGCTGTAGAATTCTGCTTTAAACCCCAATCAATCAATTTGATATCAATAAATACTTCTTGGAAACGTGGAAATTTTTGACGTCAAGCTTTAAATACACAGGCTAGACAAGCTTTCTAAAAGCTCTCTCAAGAGAGCCACAGAGGTGCATTATCTTCCCCTTTCTTAATGAGCGTCAAAGTCATTTGTTGAAAAGAATCAAAGCACAAAATAGCACATTGAAAGCCCAAAGCCATTCTGTTCAAGAGATAATTGCCTCATGAGTGACACAGCTTGTTCACACTGTTAAAGCCATAAAAATATTCCTTGCTAATGTTAGCATAGCACACGACACCATTATTAGTCAGATTCCCTGCTGTGTCTGAGACATTTTTCAGCCATATTCAGTCAAACCAATTTTCAACTTCCTTTTCTTTACAGTGGACTTTTTCATACTTCGGAGGCGAACAAGTTCCCCAGGGTTCCATGTCATTAAGTGCAAGTTGTAATAGCTACACCTGCATTTAGGCTGCTGACTATAAATACATTTTCACTTTCAGACACAGGAGAACATAGAGCGCCGTGCGCGAGAACTGCTGATATTTCAGCAGAAACAGCAAGAGACAGAGAAAAAGAGTGGAAAAGAGATAGAGAGAGAAAAGAGAATAATTAAAATGCAAAATAACAGCTGAGAATGGAGAGATTCAGGAGGAATTCTGTATTTTTTTTGAGCACGATAATGAAGAAACATCCTTTTTGTCCACCCTAATCAGCAATAGATCTCATCTGAGATCAGATTTTCAAGAGTTGTGCAGTCCATCAATAATATTATGAATGCCTACCAAAGAACAACAGTAATCCAACCTCCAACAATATAACTAAGTGTTAGCAGGCTTCAGTACTGTAGGGGTGGGTGTATGGAAAAATGTGTTTGTCTGAAGTCCTCACCCACATGAATCCATATATACGCTATATGCGGATGTACATGTGGTCCTTACCCACATAAAGCTGGCTGTAGAGCTCCAGGCGTGTGTGTCCCTGTGTAGGTGCAGGTCTGACCTCCTGGTATTTCTGGTCTAGTTGCAGAATGGCCTCTTTCATGCTCCTCTCCGCACTGACCCGGTGCCACTGGTCATCGTTCAGCAGGGTAGGAGAGTGCACGTTCAGTTCCACCGGCCCGTTTCCTACATCGAACGAAAACGACACCACCGTGGGGGCTATGAAGAGAAACAAACAGACAGAGAGACCGCTCAAACTATTATAATGCCCAGCAGACCCCTGAAACGTTCACCACTTGTTCTTCTGAACAAGATCATGTATAACAAAAAATAAATAAAAATAAAAATAGAATAAACAGATTTGGAGGAATTTAGCATTACATCACTTACTCACTAATGGCTCCTCTGCATTGAATGGGTGCCATCGGAATGAGTCCGAACAGCTGATAAAAGCATCACAAAGTACACCACAAGTACCCCACATGACTCCAATCCATTATTAAGACGTCTTTAACGTCAAACTCTTCTTTCCGGCTAAAATGCCCCATAATATTTCTTTCACCAGTAAAAAAAAAGGCATCTCATCTGAATAAGAGAAACATGCACAGATCAAGCACGGTTTACAAGCAAAAGCAGTTCTAAACAAATATGTTGGGGGATTTGATGTCAGAGGACAGGAGGAGATGAACTTTTTCACTGGAGGAAGCATTATTATGAATTAAGGTCTCAGTATGAATTTTGGCCAGACGCAATAGTTAAAAGTTGAAATGCCTTTGTGATGGATTTACTTCTTACAAACACGCATCTTTTCACTTCACAAGAAATTAACTGGAGTCGTGTGAATTTTCGTGATGTTTTTATCAGCTGTTTGAACTCTCATTCTGACTGCACCCATTCACTGCAGAGGATCCACTGGTGAGCAAGTGAGGTAATGCTGAATTTCTCCAAAGCTGTTCCAGTGTAGAAACAAACTCATCTACTTCTTGGATGGTTTGAGGGTGAGTAATTATTATTCTTATTCTTATTATTTATTTATTTTAGCAAATGTTCAGTTTTGAGTGAATTATTCCTTTAATATGCATTATATTGAAACTGTAATTGGTGGTGAAACATTTTATGCACTTTATAACAGTTATTTTTAACTTACATTTTAACTGGTAAGTAATTAATTCCTTGTTTTTCTATGTGTTAGATTACTTGTCTAAAAAAATACATGAAATGTCAACCACAGGTTGTTCTGCATGTTTTAATTAAATGGCTCATTTAATGTTCATATATTATTGTTTTGCTTAATAATTGTTTTGCAGAACAACAATCCAATGTTGTGACTTAAAATGCAGAATTAACAAACTCATCAGACTGCTTCGCTCAAGCACGCCATTAAAATTCCTCTTAACAGCCCTAAACTGAGTTGGAGAGTGTTTATTCACCATGCTGAATTCATTTTAGGCCACAGCACCTTTTAATGAGTCAGTGTTGCATATTCTCCTACATAAACAGTGAAGATTGACAGCTATACTCCTGTAGGAGGAGATGGTATTTATGGCAGGAGAAAGGAGAAGAGGCACGAGGTGTGTTTGAGCCCTGACTGCTGTGGTATGTCATGTTTAGCCCCAGAGGGCCAGGCCTCTTGGGGTTTAACCCTTGCTAAATCCTGATTTAGAAACATCCTCCTGACACCAGAAATACGTCAGAGCAACAGTGCCATCATCCACCCTCAATCGAACGTTACTGTCTGACAAAAACGCTGTAGTGCCATTGTGTTTAAAGACTACATACTGTATCCAGAGATAAGCCACAGTCTCATAATTATTCATGACGCCACATGATAATTTCCTAAAACAAGCGCTTCAGATGCTCAGACAGCGAAGTTGGTGTCACACTTCGAGACACCTTTGAAATGTTTATGTACAACATGCATTGCATTTATTACAGAGGAGTTTCTAGAGAGGTTGACTGGAGCTCATTTGATAGTCTGATCAAATGACCTTCAGACCAAAATTTGTTAACACTAGTCATATGCAAACTGTCCCCTCATTGGTCAGAATGTTATGTTCTGAGGTTTAGCTCAGTTGACTGACATTTTCAGAATTTAATATGAAAATGAGGGCTTTCATGTTTACTATAGCACCAGAGAGGTAAATATTAATTTAAAATTAACAATATGACACACACATGCTAATGTATGTACTGCACAAAGCCAAAAAAAACAAAGGCCTGCCATTTCGACACTAAAGTGAAATTATTTAAAAAGACAAGTATGTCACTAAATTCACTGGGCTGACCGGCTCTGTTCGGCAGGGGTTACTATGGCTGCACAGATGCTGAAGGCAAGAACTAAATTGGATTTGCTTAGTGTTGGCAGCACAGTGAGCCTGCAGTGATAGTCAGCCACTGCTATTGTCACCATCTTAGGAAGCTAAGAGAAGTGCTGATATGATACCAAATACCTGGCAGCTGCAGGGAGACACACACAGTGGACTGTCCAAACACAGCTAATTTCTGCCATTATGATCAGTTTTTCCTAACAATATCTGCTATTGTGATTGTGAGCTGCCTACAGTTAGTTTTATTTGTTATTTATGCCAAACAATAAAGGGAGGTCTGTTTTCTGGTTTCTTTTGGCCGGAGTGGCAGGTGTTCCTGCTGCTCTCAGTAGGGGGTGCTATTTTACTGTACTACATTCTGATGCAGATGTTGCAGGAATTAGGGATAAGTGTTCGACTGGCATCCACAGAGCCACCTGTTCATCTCAAATTCTGAACTGGAGGAGGAGATTTATGACACAGTCAGCCAGAACCCTGCGAGCAAAGGTCCAGTGCCATCAGAACAGAGCAACTGAGGTCAATTTTAGCTCAATTATAAGTTAAAAAGCTCAGTCTTCGTTTAGATTATCTTAGTTTTAACATTTAATAATTCATCTTTTTATGATGGACTTAGTCTTAGTCAGTCTAAGACTGAAATTCTAGGCCTGGGAGAGGGGCAAAAACAATCTATATACCAAATGAAAAAATAACTAGCCAGTCACAATATGGGGGACTTAATAAACACCGAGCCAATCCTTCTTTGAGAATGTTGCAGAGCGTTTGTGAGAGAGAGCCAGCAAAAGACAGAGAGAGAGAGGAAGAGGACAGGTCTGGCAGGTGTGTAATTTGGACTAGGGCTGCTCCACCATTCTCAGCCCTCTGATCCCTGTAATTGGATTTCCTGCACTTGGCCAGCCAGCACTGAGCATCAAGAGTCTGCCACTGTTCTTGGGGAGTGTTTTCTCTTGTGTGTGTGCTTGTTTATGTGTGTGGACCGCTCGTCCACAACTGAAGGCATTCAGTGGATCGCTGCTCTAGCATCCACTAAACAAAATCAACAAGCCAAACAGCATGGCAGTGAAAAAGTGGGTTTGTGTTTATATGGGTATATTAGATCGCCCGCCAAACTGACTGAGAGTAGATCTACCAAACCAACAGCAGTTACGGCAAAATGCATTACATGATTCCACATAAATGACTTTTATACAGACGGTGAATGCTAATTTGCATTGTATTCTGGTATCTGCATGTCAGAATGAAATTTTAATGCAATAAACCAGCATTTTCTTTAAATGGGTCTTGAAATGAAGAATCAGAATATTCTTGATATTTACACATACTTGTATGAGAGATTATTCTACAATGAAACATACTGTAATTGTCTAAAAATATTATTTTCGACCCTTCTGAAAGGCCTGGATTTGAAATCGGGGGAATCATGAAGTCACTATTTCCCAAAGAATATTTAAAAGAATAGTTTACCCAGAAATGAACGTTTTTGTCCATATACTATAAAAATGATTTTTTGAAGATGTAAATAAAACAGATTATTGGAGCATGTTTTTAAACAAATACTATTTCAGTCTTTCTACTTGAAAATGATTCTTTTATTCAGTTTAATTGTTTTACCTGATATTTGAATTATTTGTGAGATTTACTAACAATTTGTTTACCAAATGTATTTGTAGTGTACAATGAAAATCAGTAGGGTCCAAAACAACACTGTATCCCTTTCACTTTCATTGCATGGACAAACAACACAGATATTTTTCAAAATATATTCTATAGAAAGAAATACATAAATGTTATGAAAGACATGAGGGTGAGGGGATTTCATTTTTGGTTGATCTCTTTTATCCATGTAAGGCAGTCTTATATCCTACACTTTTCCTTCTCTTGCTCATTTTTAATGCAATGCAAAGGATATTTTAGGGGTATGGACCCCGTCAAAGGCTGATGATTTTCTCATGCATTTATCAATGCATTTATCGAGAGCTCCTGACTCTCATGCAGGTGTTCTGCCGTGATGTGTAGAAATGCAGTGAAGGCTGTCATGACTTATTTTAAACACTGGAGAAAAAGAGAGTTTTAGAAAAGGCTCCCACTTGCTGTACAATTGAAATGCAGTGAAGCCAAAAAATATTTTTTTTGAGCCCAATTGAGATTTTACTGTTCCAATGTGTTAATCCCAAAATATATGCCCATAAAAGAAAGAAACAGAGTAATTTGAATTGGAACATAAAAATATAGAAACTTTTGTAATTAAACACCAGTTAGCTTTGGACAAACTCCAAACACAAAGAGGAGACCGTTAAACCGCATGCATACTGTATGAGTGAATCCAACTGAAAAGCTTGAAAGCACAAAGTATAAAACATGAATTAGTGGAGCTTAATAAATTATTTTAGCACAAAAAAGTAAAAGTGAAAGTAAAAGGAAAAGGGAGAGTTATAAGTGCAGTTATGCCTTGAAATTAGGCATGAATATTCAATGGTGGTTGATGTCAAGATTTCCTCAGCTGAGATAAGAGACAGAGAGTGTTTGAGATGAAACGGAGCTGAAGCAGAAGATGTGGGCATCCACCCATCATTCAATCATTCATCGAGAGGCTCTTTTTCCTTGGGCTAATGCCAGAGTTACAGTAGGGAGATTGTACTAGATAATGCTAGAAAATGCCAACAGAGGGCACCAGCAGAAAGACAGACAGATTGAGAGAGAGAGAGAGAGAGCGATAGCAGATATTTGATCAATTGTGAATCGAAGGATTTGGCTCAGAGCTCATTTACAGTCAGAACTATAGAGGTGACTTTTTAATACACTTTTTGAGGGTGTACCATGCAATAAAGTATTAGATTATCATGAATGTATAGTCAATATTGCTATTGTAATAATAAATGCTGTTATTTTGAACTT